CCGTGGGGACGAAACAGAACACCAACTGCCGTCACGCCAAGCCTAAATCCACGCGCATGGCCAAACAGCGACCGGCGAAAAATTGATCAGCCCAAGGCCAACACGCACAGCCGCAACTTTAAACTTGCTGATCGATAAAGTCAGTATTCGCTTCGACAAAGGACAGCCGGTCCAGCTGTCCGAAGAGTCAGCAAATCTACAAATTTAGTCCGGTGAGCAGGAGACGAACTCTTAACCCCTAAAACACTTTCAGTCTACGCCTACAAACCTTCCAAAAGCAGGACTTACTCCAAGGTAGCGATTAATTGTTGAGGAACTTAAAAGGCAATAACTGTCCACTTAGTCATGCGAAACAGAGATGGCAATTTATCTAGTTTGTCAGTCATATTTCAACTCTAGCTCGAGAATATTCAAGGTTCGAACACGGCATCAGATGTTTACTGAGTCAGCTGCTCCCTAACTGGAGTTACTGGCTCACATCGTGAGAGTTACTATGAGAAATATGCAAAGTCACAAGAAATTAAGCCAAATTGGAGGCATAACGAGATACCGTCTTGGAGGTCTGTTCTAGATATCATGCATAAGGTCACTTAGCGGAGAACATTCAACAACCCAAAGATGAAATGAAAAGAAGTGAAAGAAATGCAGAGAAATGAAGGAAGACCCTAAAAAGGAAAGCGACGCCCAGGCATTAAGCGGCCAGCGGTATAAAATTTCTTGGTTATTTTTCGTTGCAAAAAGGCAGACCTACAAGATGGAGGGAAGGGATCATCTAGCAGGAAGGTCATTTCCTCGGGCTCGGGATCACGTGTGTCCACAAAGTAGGTATTCTGATCGGCTGCCAGTGTTCCCTCCCAACTACTGTTCGAGAATTTTACTGTGGCCTGTTCCTGCTCCGTGGAGGTGGTAATCTCACAGGCACCGGGCTCCGGGGAGGATGCAGGTGTTCGGGCAGGGCTGACCGTGGAATCCACCTCGGCGTTCGGTGGACAACTTTCGCTTGCCCTAACACGCAGTGACTGCTTCGTACTGGGGCTTTTGGGTTCCTTGAAGTTGCGGGTGAAAAAAAGAATACAGAAAAAAAGTTAAGCATTAAAATAATCGACAAAACTGACTTGTAGGGCCCCTATAGATATCTATTCCTCCCGCCCAAATGTCTAACGCTTTT